ATTAGTTTGTAGGAAATGGAAATCATGACATTACTATGTGTTTCGAGTATTCACTGCATCTTAAGCAGGAAGTTACTTGTATTGAATTGAGGATAGCACTTTAGAAACACAACTTGGAAAGAAGAGACACACACATCTCTCTCTCACTGACTTTCATCCTTTGATTCAAACAGAATATTTTTGTGTTTTTAAAAGACCACCTGCTGAAAGCATCATGGTTCATAGAGAAAAGGGTTGATGATAAATAAGGACATAACAGTCCTTGACAGAAGAATATGAATCACTAGAAATACATTCTGCTATATAAGCTATATCTTTTATATAGTACTGCAAAGATGTCATTTTATCTTTCCATGTCTTTATTTTAGCTCCCTTTTTCTATCTTGACCTGGTAAGCAGGAAAGGTAATGGTAAAAACAATCCAATTTCATGCATGTAGGAAAATGGTTCTTTGTCTCTGTTTCTAGTTATGCAATACAAATAAATACTGTCAAAGGCTTTTGGTTTTTTATTAAAAACAAGTGGCATATTTTTATTATGGCACTGTATGAACAGATGAAACAAAGGGCCAGGTAAGTAAACAGGGAGACAACTGGATTTAGTGAGATCACTTATGAGGTTCTAGAAAACATTCTCTTAAGCATGAAGAGTGTTCAGAGTAAATGTGCTTTCTCCAAAATGGAAACACACTTTTTGGAAGTTCTGGGCAAAACTGACAAAAAACAGATCTTCATAGAATCACAGAATCACAGAATGGTTTGGGTTGGAAGGGACCTTAAAGATCATGTAGATCCAACCTCCCTGCCATGGCACGGATACATAAACCATGGGAAGGAACATCTCCCATCTTCATTTTACTGCTTTTGCTGCTCCTCTGCAGCACTGAAACACACTGTTTGGGGGTTATTTCCTGGGGGTGAGCAGTGGTCATGTCAGGCATTGAATTCACTTGTGTTGAGGACTGTGGAGCTGCCCAAAGCACCAATACTCCCAACGCTGCCCTGAAAGGTCACAATAAGGGAGCAATCTATGCCCAGAGCCACAACACCCCCAGCCATACACCAGGCCTATGCTAGTAAACTAAAATGAGTCAGGACCTGCTTTCCCTCCCCAAAGGTGAATCATGAGCACCACTTAAATTGGGCAAGTAAAGAAAATACTTAGAAGCCCTAATCCGTACATAATCATTCTTGGGCACTTCTGTGGTTTCTAAAACAACATTAACCCTTGCAGCTTTGCTGTTGCATGGGCCTCCGTCCCCTACCTTCACTGAGACAGCAGACTGAAGGACCTCGCCAGCACGCTGTCCATCAGACATTGGCGTGCCGTCCCCAGTCTTATCTCTAGCAAGCCTGGTTTTATCCCCTTCCCCCTTCAAATCTACTTTAAGCCATGCCAATTGGCACTAATGCAGAAACCAAGCAAAACGTTTCCAATCACCCAAAAATATCTCCAGTTGCTACTGTAAGGTCTTATGTGGGTAAGCATGACCAAAGAAGGGTAGTATGGCTTTATTAAGAAAACCATCACAGTCTTGTAAGTCTTGTAAGTAACATAAAAACCAGAAAGCAAGATCATATGATGAAAAACGCACATTCTGGGTTGTGAATAGAGGGAGTCTGGATTTCAGACACAAAAAGTCATTGGGTTCCAGGAGAGAAATATTCCCTAAATACAAGTCTCAGGTATGGAGTGTAGGGGCAACTTCTACACACACCAAAGCACATGAACAGGAGAACATAAATTAGAAAAACTAATGAACTAAGAAAAATACAAAAGACAAAAGGTAATAGAAAATGGTAAGATTGAAGTTGGGCAAGAAGTGAGGAAAAGGCAAGGCGCTGATTTTCTCAGCTGAGCAGCTGGGAGAGGACAGTGAGCAGAAGACAGCAGGTCAGATAAGTAGGCACGAGGTATGGGCAGGGGAGCAGCGCATGAGCTCACTTTTTGAATGCAGTCAGCAAAAAATTCTCCAGTCTTTGCTACTTGAGGTCCACACTCATGAGAAGTGTGAATGTGCAAACGTTTGGGCAGTCACTTGAGAAAAAGCCCACAAGCTCAAAAGCCAGTTTCTCTTCCTTCATTATCACAGATTTAAGGGCAAAGCACTTTGAGTTACGGTCTCATTACTGAGATTTAATTACTTTTCCTAAATGTTCTGCAGAACATTTACTTGTACATTGCAAAGTATTACAGTATAGTCACAACTTAGGCTCTCAATTACAGGAAAACTAGGCAGGAAAGAAGCGGATTTAATTAGAGTCAGTGAAGCTTAATCAATTCCACTGTGTATGCAGGGAAGGGAACACCAACTTTTAGTCCATTTGTGAAGCCACCTTACCTGTCTGCTATAGGTTATTAAAACCTTCATGTAAATGCAAAAAGTCAACGGCTGATACATTAAAATGGCTGGCTGATATTGTGCATTTTCTGCATTGGGCTAGACTCTTTTTGCTTCAATTCCATTTTTGCCAGACTAAACATTTTTGTGTCTGAGACTGTTTCTGACTGCTCATCCTAAAGCAGCACTGCAAAGTGTTTTCATTTCGGAACTCCAAACCAGCACCGCAGGCCTACTTGTAGGTCACCCTGTCTAGGAAGACCAGAACCTTCACAGTAGACAGTAAAGCTACAGCTCTTCCACATACATCGTCCGGCTATAATACCATTACTGTTTGCACAGTGACCTTCCTTTGGAAGGATGGAGAGGTTCTCCAGGCATTTTGGGGAAAAAGAGAATTCACATAATCTGGAAAAATTACAGAAATATTCTGAAATATATGAATCCCAATTTAATTAGTTCAAGTGTAAATATGTGTATGTATTTTTATATATATATGCACAGTTACTAGTGAGAAAAACCCCCCCACATGCTCAAAAACCAATTTACCTCCCTTCATTAGCATAGACATAAGGGCAAAGGCTTTACACTTAGGTGTAAATAAACAGCAGCACAAGTATAAGTACATAAGAGCTCATTTCCTGGGTAAAATTCATCCCACCCAGAATTGGAAAGTAGCCAGAAAAAATCACTTCCTAAAAGTGCTTGTATGACTGGGTATGATACAGGTATGTTGCAAGTTATGTGTTAACTCCTACCCTTCACTCTCCCTTTGCAGTTAATGAAAGAGGACTCAATTAGCTTTTCGGCTTGCCCTGTAGAGGTGCCAGCCAAATTCACAACTTCTGGTTCAGTCTGTTGAGACCAAGCACTGCATTTTTATGACTTTCCATGCCTGCATTAAGTACATATGTTAGGCATGCAAAAAATACACCTGCATGAAGTCAGAGAAGGTCAGAACTTAATCACATTAAAATCAATATCCAATTCAATTCTGCATGATCTGTAAAAGAGCACAAGTAATGCTCCTAAAAAGGAACTGACTATGCAGGTGCTAGTCCGGAAGGAAAATGAGTAGCAGCTCCTGGAAGCAAATGAAACGTACACGTGAGATCAGTGAGATCCAAATGTGTACTGGATGACTTCATTTTGCTTTGAAACTGAGTGGATACTCAGTAGATACACCTACGCAGGATGGTGGGTGTACTTCAAGACTTATGGTAATATAGCGTACCTTTTCTAAGTCACAATCGCATGCCATGTAAAAGCCATCAGGTATATACAGATATTTTTCTAAATATATTTTAAAAGACTCTGAAATGGGTGTTTTGTTTTACTACAACATAGGCTGAACTGCGGGAGGATTTCATTATAAGCTATAGAAAGCATGTGTTAAAACATAATGTCATTCAGAATTAAAAAAATGGCCAAATGAATATCTATAGCAATATGGTATCATCTGTTCTTCTCTTGGCAACAGTCATAGAAAAAGTCCTTGTTAAATCAGCCACACTATTGATTCTGTTTCCCTCTTTATTTTTTGTCAGTGAAAGCAAAATTAATGTATATATATCTATGAGTACTATTTTATGCAGTTCTGTATCGAAAATGACATTTCTTATTTCTTTGACTTCAGTGGCAGCTGCATCATAAACGTTGTTTGCAACAAAATCTTCACAATTCTCTAATGTGCTAGCAGAGAAGCAGAGCGGTGGCGGGGGATCTACCACCAGCAGATGGCATTAATTCCCTGCCTTTCCTGCAGCTGCAGCAGGTGCTGAACGGTGCACTTGCACCACATCAGCATAGGATGTGGGATCATGCGAGAAACAGATAGTTAACCCTAAGCTATTTTCCCGTCATTTGACAAAATGCTCCTTTCAAAGCATTATTTTATTTTTTCCATTATTTAAGAAAGAGTGCATACATAAGCACTAGATAGAGGTTGATTTGCCACAGCAGGATTTTATATTCACTTTACACACTGGGACAGGTACTATCCAGTGCAAGCCGGTCTGTCTGGCCCAGTATTTTCTTTATGTAATAGCACCTTTCCATTAATAACTGATGGAGGAACCTAACCTTCCTTCCCAGTTCAACAGCACCTTTATTTTACCGTTCTCCATGTCCATAAATGCTCTGCTAAGGTAGTAAAACTATCAGCTTAAATATGAGTAATAGTAACTTTATATGGTGAATAGGAAGTTAATACTGGATTCAAATAAAGGTTGTTTTTTTTTCCTCAGACAAAACTGAGCTTTACTGCCATGAAGGTATGGACTGAGGGCACCTTGGTAATTAAGCTACACCACGTTGTTCCGCCAGCCCTGAAAGAGCCTGATGCAAGCTGCATCAGGCACAGAGATGCTGGGATGCAGGACCAAATGTGCAGCTTCCCTGCACCCTTTGCCCACAGACCTGCTGAGTGGAGAAGGGGGGACTCACTGCCCTAAAGTGCTGGCTGTTATGCCAGGAATTTTATAGGAAAAGAAAATGCAGCAGGCAAGTGAACATACAAATATAGGCCCATGAAGAAAATAAAAAAGAAAGACCAAGCAATCTCATTTCCATTGACAAAATAAAGGTAATGCAATGCACAATGGTATCACATCTGGAGTTTCAGTAATGTGCTTACAGTGACATTAAAAGCAGGTATTACCTGTTCTAAGAGATTCTGAAGCCTCTCTATTTCACAGTCTATTACAAATTTCTTTTCTTGCCTTCGGTCCAGGTCTTCTAAAAGCCGCCTGTAGCTGGCATCATTAAAATTCTCCACACAGATGGCACTGACTTGCCAGCTATTTTGTCCTGCTTTTTCCATAATAGCTTGAAGTATTGAATAACCTAAAAGAAAAGGATACAATACACTAGTAACAAAATAATTGCATTTTTTTGAATAGGAATTGTCCTTAATCAATATTATGTCTCTTAATATTTGCTCCTGCAGGGAAAGGAATAAGAGACTGTTTGTATCCCTACCTATGCTGCTAGCCATGATCAGCGCACAGTATGCAATTAACAAAAATTGCAGTTGCTGTGATCAGAATTCTTGGAATGATTCTTAGCATTATGGAAAATCTTCATATAATTTATACACACAAACCCTTCCAGTCAAGTATTCAGCTTCCTAGATTGGATTTGTACAGGTTTCTACATCCAGGCATTTCAAGACAAATTGAAGAAGAAAATCTCAGTCTGCTCATTCACCAGACTAATTTGTATACTACACAAGCAGTATTTTATACATTCATATGCTTTGCTTTTGTGTTGGAGTTTTTTTTGGTCAATATTAAATTCAAGCAGTTTTTAATGCTTCTTAATAAGAATTTTGTTTTCATTTATTTATGCATTTATATATATATATATATATGCCAGTATAAATGTGTGAATAGAAATTATATTGATCTGTTTCAGAGATCCTATATAGCTTTAATCAATGTATGCAAAGTAGTTAGAGGTCAATGAATGAAGGGCACCATAGAAGCATTAATTATTACTACTGGTAGGATTAATGCTTTTTATCATTATCAGCATTTGTCATCTTTGAGCCCATTCACAGAAGGGAAAGGCAGCATCCTCTCTGAGATCTCCACTCCAACCTGCAGGGCAAGCTCCCTGCTTGCAGTCTCAGCGTGCCTTGGCCCACCAGTCCTTCACCTTCTTCCCTCTCCTAATTTTTTCTCACTGTGGATGTGCAGTACAGAGGCAGGAGAGGAGCCTGCAACATATTTCAGGATAGCTTTCAAGCCTAGCCTTGACTTGTCCAACCAGTTCCTTAAGTAGGAAGCATACCATACCATAGAATTACAGAATGGTTTGGGTTGGAAGGGACCATAAGGCTCATTCAGTTCAACCCCAGCTATGGGCAGGCACACCTCCCACCAGGCCAGGCTGCTCAAAGTCCCATCCAACCTGGCCTTGCACACTTCCAGGGAGGGGGCATCCACAACTGGTGAATTTGTTTAAAGCAATGAAGACTGCACACCTCAGGTTCAGAGTTAATGTTTAAGACAAAAAGGACAGATACCTTCATCAATAATGTACTGATACAAGTTGTAAGTTTCAGAGAAGGTCACCCTGTCTAGAATCACAACACAAAATATTGTAGTTTTTTACTCATTATCTGGCTGAATTTTCTTCACTAGCTCTAAACAAAAGTCTTCAGCTCTTAAAAGCTACCCTTAGCGATGTGGCTGCACAGTGGTGGCTCCTTTCTCTCTTCAAGAAGAGGGTCCCGTGCCTCAGTGGAGTGACCCCCAGATGTCATTTTAAAGGTGCCACTTGAAGGTGCCACTTGAGGATCCCCTGTAAAATGCACTATCACACATTCCCACAGATTGCAGGAGGATTTTCTGTAAGTTACTTTTCAGAAAAAAACACTTCTCAGTGTGCTGTTGCTAACTAATTATCAGACCTACAAAACCACCAAAACCCGAGTTTGCCTCCAGTAAAATAAAAGTAGACAGTAGTCTGATCAGAATATGAAGATTTTAGGACACATGAGAAAGCAATTGTCTTGCAAATCTAGGAGTAGCTATTTTTCTACTGGTTCCTAGGACATTTGCAGACCTTGAAATATTGACTTAAAATGTGCATCTTCTTATCATTATGACACTATGTACCCACACTTAAAAATGAACATTTATTATTATTTTTCCCCAATTCAGATGACATATTTAAGATAAAAATACAAACATTTATAATGAATACATAAAATGTAAAACATATTTTATCATATAAATGAGACATTTATTTTATGAAACAGTATTTCATCCTAGGAAATGAATTCAAATACTTGATGTATGCAGTATTAAAACGTTTATCTAGTCAGCATATATTTTTAACCCAATGACTGTTATTTTTTTCAGCAAACCATACAGCTTTCCTGTTAATTGCTGCATAATTATTCTGCTTTTCCTGTTGCTACAATCAATCTCCTTTTTGCCTGTAATTATCTCTGCAAATCATGACGAGATTCTTTCCCAAACATTGTATTTCTTGCTTCATTTCCTATTCACTTCCATATATAGACATACATTAAACCTACTCCAGTGTTACAGGGATTCCTGCTTCATTTACACTGTAACTGACTTGATCTTTGCTACAAAAGCAGTCAACATTGACTTAATTCAGCTTCCTGACACAAATTTACATTTTCTTTGATTCTGAATGAATGGTGTTTGAAACAGCAATTGACATTCCCTCATTCCCTTTGTATTTCACTTGGACAACTTTACTAAGATGTGTTTTGATCAAACTGGGAATTTATCCCAGCATAAAGCATGACAAATACCAGACAAACACAGAGAAAAGGTTTTCTTCTACCTTGGATCAAAGTTTGACTTGCCACATTTCATTAGCAACTGCCTTCATTTAGGCATTTGAAGCTTCTGTAGCTCCTTGTCAGCAGCTGGTGCTCAGATGGGGGTTTTCATGTCAGTGTGTCTTTCACGTATAGCATAACACAGCTAAATGGTAGTAACTGGATATGGTACAACATCTCCGGCAGAAAAGCTCAGAAGCCCTGTGTAAGTAATCAGTGGCATAGTCATCTATTTGGTGTGCAGGAATTTTTAATATAACAGACTAACGAGGGTGGAGTTTATGCAGAATGAATAAAGGCATTCACAGGCTCAGCCAGCATAAAACTTAGACATGCTGAGGAGAATGTTTATTTTGTCCAAAATAATTGGCTACACCTAACAAGGAAAAAATTAGTTGTATGTAGTGTTGCAATTTACAGGGCAAAACTCCTGAAACTAACTTGCGATAGTTTTCAGAAACTGAGTGCAGCATCTCTACTTAGACAAAATTCTTAAAACTTCAATAATATGTTTGCCCAAGACAGCAGGCGTGAATCTTACAGCTGTCATCTAAAAGGTATTTATTTTCTGGTTATCTGCCGTTCATCCTCAGTTATGCTACAGACAGATGAATGATTTATTTTCTGGAATACACTGCATCCTATATATTGTGGAATATTACTTGTTGCATAAAAGCAAATTTCAAAAAAACTAGGCTGACTCATATCAGCTGAGCTACACAATCAATGTGTTTCAAAACAATGTTATTCAAAAAATATGTTTAGGACTATGCCAATAAATAAAAGTAAGGAAAGTTTTTACAAGTGTATATAGTAACCGTTCCTCATCAACTAATTCAACCTTGAAATGCAGATAACTCATTTATCAGAAAATACAAATAATCATGTCCAGCCATAACCGGTTGAAGCCTGGAGGTTTGTATCAAGAAGCTCCTTGTCCTTTCCAGGGTTGTTTTTTTTTTCAAATTACAGATCCATGAACAACATGAAAGACCAGTATAACTGTCTGGAAACACAGACAAAGTAATTCCTAAATGCAAGGATGCTATATGCAAAAATGTCTTCTTTTTCTCTTTATAGGACTATGATTCTTGGGAATTTTCCTCAAACGACCTGGAATAAGAAGTTTAAAAACTGCTTCTTATAGATCATTGCTCAAATGTACACAGTATTGACAACTGTGTAAGGACCAGTAATACCAATTTCACCTCAATATACTGGAACCAAACCAGAGACAAGGACAGTCTGCAAAGATTTTATTTTCTGGATCTCTTTTCTCCTTGCTTTTCTGTTGTCTGGTCAGGTGGAATTGTGCTTAACTAACATATTGCTCCCCCTTTTTTTTTTTCCAAAGAGATACTACACAACCATTACATTGGGGGAAAAAAAAGCCCAAACAAACATGAAAATGAAGAGTTACTCTATTATTTTCCTGTAAAATCAGAGCTGGAGATGCCTACTGCAGAAAATCTACATACTGGGGTTAATACTACAGCTGGATACCTTACAAGCAAGATTTTTTCTAATCCTACTATCCTCATAGCACACTTGATAGGCTTTTTTCCATTGCAAAATGCATCAGCCACATAAAAACAATACCAGATGTGCACCTGTTCTTATATCTGTTTAGAGAGAGATTAGCACATCTTCCCAGCCTTAGATATCTTCTGGAGGCCAAAGTGGGTAAAACACTTGAGCAATTTTGGTATTTAAGAACACATTTTAAGTGCAGGAGTTTGGGAGTCCAGGAGTCCTCCTATTCACTGCAGTGTTGCTGCAATTGGAGCCCAGACACAACAACCTTCCACCCAAGTAGCTAAAATATGAGTGATCTTTTTGATGTTAAAAGTTAAGTGGCCTTTCAGGTTATTTCATTTGTCTTCTGCAGTACCAGCTGGTCTTTCCCCCATCAAATTTTGTTTCAGCAGTCAATAACTTAATTTCATTTATTTCCATCTAAATGAAGAGTAAAATCTGATATCTAAATCTCTTCAGTGTGTTCAGAATAAACTAAAAAGATCAGAGGAGCATTTTCTTGACTTGTTTTTTTTTTTCTGCTGGAATGCATTTGGTTGGCTCATTTCCTTTTCTTTCTTTCCTTTTTTAAAAAAAATTCTTTTTTTTTCTTTCTTGCTTGCTTGCTTTTAGTATTTCAGTGAACAACTACAGTGTTATAATTAAATTTCAATACATTTCATCTTCCAGCAGCTTTTTGATTCTGGGAAACTGTTTTCCCTGCCCCTCTAAGCGCATGCAATCATTCCTGATGGTCTTGCCAGAAGACAGACGTGTCAAAGTGGCTGCTTGCTCCAAACAGTTGCACCCCCAGTAATAATTCTTATTTTGGAACTATTGCGCAGGAAGTAACCTATTATTAATTTTCTATGATGAGGAGGATGCAAAGTTTACATATTATAACTCTATTTTACTCTGACTAGCAGACTGACAATACTGAATGACACAAGTTAACAGCATCTGCAGTGTATTTCTGTTATGGCCACAGGAGTAGAAAACACCTCTGACGAACATGGGTCTTTTCCAAAAATAGGCATCATATACTGCCTGTTACTGAAATGCAAATTAATTTTCTTCTCTTTCTGGTTCAGTTAACCTTCAAACAGGAACTGATCTCATTCCCAAAATTTGCTATGATCCCAACAGCCACAGACACTAAAATGCTGGAGCTATTTTATAAAAGCCACTTTCATCTATTGGAATTCGTATTTGAATCAGTAGAAGAAATAAATTTGTTATAAATCCAACACACAGAAGAAGTGATGAATAAATGATCAAATAATTTGGTATGGATAAGCCAATATATTTGACATTCAGGATTGTATTCATGTCACTTAACTCTAGCTGTCTATAAAATAGTTGTCTAAGTTAATCATCCAAGCTTTCAAAGGAGAGACATATATCCCATAAAAAAGCATTTTTTTGTCTTAGATATCTATCTCAGAGCCGTTTTTCCCTTTCTCTGATGAATACTGAAGGAGTCTAGACATAAGGCTTAGTGAAAATACCTACCATTTATCTAGCCAAAATCGGGCGAGATGAATCCAGACACTACAATGATGAAAACCATACAAGAAATTTAGAGTATGAGTGATGCATGTTTGTACATTCAACCAATAACTACAAACACTCAAATTCAAGCCTATTTTAGTTTTCCTTATTATGATTAATACCTGTTTATTAGCATATGGGTTTTTTAAAATTTTTTGGCCAGTATACAGCTTCCAGAACTTGAACGCAACCAGTAAGATTTATAAGCCCTATCATACAGCCTTTGACATATGATGACACATTCTCGTGCCAAATTTTCTCTGCATTTAGTGCTGCAGCCACATCATTCAAGAAAAAGTACATAGAAACTGGTCTATTTAGACAATAGAGTGAAAGCCGGAACTACAGGTGTGTTCTGAGTCCTCCTTGGGTCTAATTCACATAAATGACACATAGATTGGAAAATAAGACGGAGAGCTCAAGAACTAATCCCATCTATTCCTCTCTATCCTTCCATCCCCCAAGACAGATAAAATATATTTAAATCATTCTAGACAGGTATCTTTCTTTGTCCTTAAAAACCTCTAAAGATGATTCTGCAACTTCCTGGGTAACATATTCATTGCTTAATTATCCTCATCATTAGGAGATGTTTCCTAAAGTCTAACGTAAGTCTCCCCTGGCACAATTTAAAGCTACTCTTTCTCGCCCTGTCCCTAGTAGACATGGAGGACAGCCTGAGCCCTTCTTTA